TTTTCCAGAAAGGTGGGATCACTGCAGGGGAATGAAGAAAAGGATTCCTTTCCTTTCTGGGTGACCTGTCTTCTACTGCCAGTGGGGTACCTGCCCTTTTTCATGTTCAAAAAGACCATTTAAAATAACTCAGGAATTGGGGTGCCTGGCTGGCTCAGTAGGTAGAGCATGCAACTCTTGATCTTGGAGTTGTAGGTTTGACCCCACCGTGGGTGTAGAGATTACCTAAAAATAAAATCTTTAAAAAAAAATAGGGGCACCTGGGTGGCTCTGTCGGTTAAGCATCCGACTTCAGCTCAGGTCATGATCTCACAGTTCACGGGTTTGAGCCCCACGTCAGACTCTGTGCTGACGGCTCAGAGCCTGGAGCCTGCTTCGGATTCTGTGTCTCCCTCTCTCTGCCCCTCCCCCATTTGTTCTCTCTCCCCTCTCTGTCTCTCTCTCTCTCTCTCAAAAATAAACACTAAAAAATATTTTTAAATAAATAAAAGCTAAGAAACTAAAGGAGATGGTTGATAGATGATAGGTAGGTAGGTAGATAGGAAGGAAAGAGGGAGGGAAGGAAGGAAGGAAGGAAGGGAAGGGAGGGGAAGGGAGGGGAGGGGACAATCTTCACTGAGTCCTCAGGTCACCATGAGCACAGTGTGTGTGAATGTGTGTATGAGTGGCTGGGGCGGGGGTGGGGCAGTAATGCCATCACACAATAAATACAGCTTTAGGAAGACAAAATATATATACTATGTTATGATGAGATCTCTATTACAACCTCCAAATCACAGCAAAGATCGTATTTGTTAAGGAAATTACTTACCTTCTGGTCAGTATATTGAGGTCTAAAGCAGAGGTTGGCAAACTACTGTTTGGCAGACAAGCCCACTGCTCATTTTTGTAAATGAAGTTTTATTGGCATCCGACCAGGCCCGTTCCTAGTCTTTGGCACAGGTGAGTAGTTGTGACAGGGTCCCCGTGGCCTGCAAAGCCTGAAATACTTGCCCTGTGGCTCTTTACAGAAGTTGAAGTTATAGTAATGTAGGATGAGTAGGTCTAGAGAGCTAACATACAGCATGATGCATATAGGTAAATAACACTGGACCGAATACCGAAATTTGCTAAGAGAGTAGATTTCAGATGCTCTCATCACCAAAAAGAAGGTAACTATGTGAGGAGATGATAATTAGTTTGACTGTAGTATCATTTCACTGTGTATGTGTGTATCAGGTCATCACACTGCATACCTTAAATACATACAATTTAAAAAAAAATTTTTTTTTAATGTTCATTTTTGACAGAGAGAGAGACAGAGCATGAGCAGGGGAGGGGCAGAGAGAGAGGGGAGACCCAGAATCTGAAGCAGGCTCCAGGCTCTGAGCTGTCAGCACAGAGCATGACGTGGGGCTTGAACTCACGGACTGTGAGATCATGACCTGAGCCGAAGTCGGATGCTTAACCGACTGAGCCACCCAGGAGCCCCAGTATCTTTCATGTTTCAAAAGAATTTCCAGTGGCCTGTGTCTGACCACCCTCCTCCCCACCTAGTGGGTTCACACTCTGAACGTGCTTGATTTCCGTGACAGCAGGGGCCCCGAAGTGCAGTGCACCCGATGACGGAGAGTAAGGAGAAATTATCCAAACTTTATGTTTTGTTATCAATCTTAAAAAAAAAATTGTTGGAGCGCCTAGGTGACTCAGTATGTTAACCGTCTGACTTCGGCTCAGGTCATGATCTCACTGCTCTTGAGTTCGAGGCCCACGTCAAGCTCTGTGCTGACAGCTAGGAGCCTGGAACCTGCTTTGGATTCTCACTCTCCAGCTCTCTCTCCCCCTCCCCTGCTCATGCTCTATCTCTGTATCTCTCTGTCTCTGTCTCTCTTTCAAAAATAAAAAAACTTTTTTTAAAATTCTCAATTTGGGGGCAGAGTATTCTGTAAGACCTGATATATTAGCACAGTAAGTAATCCACACACATCACTTATATAATAAATGTATGTCATTCCTAAATAAATACACGTGCATGTGCTGGGATGTGCACCAGCACCCGGTTATGAGGCAACTGGTAGATATGAGGCATGCTGTAGGCTGAAACTGAGCCTAAGCTGTGCTCGGAGCCTGAGTCAGGCTTTGGCAGGCCCCCCGTGCCCCCCACCCCCCGCCCCGGCCCAGAGCCAGCAGGGCAACGCACGCTGTGTGGGCACAAGCTAAGTTAGAAGTTATGCCTCACAGGCACAGCCGCGGGTGTTCCAGAGCGAAAACCAGCGACTGGGACGGGTTTGACTCCCTCCTGTGAGTGCCAGCCACACAAAGTGTCAGAGTACCTGATGGAGCATCTCAGGAGTGGAAGCAGTGAGTGGGGAGTAGGGAGTATGCAGGGTCCCCTGCCAGGAAAGGGCTGGCACTGGCTCAGTGATAATCCTAGCAACATTTGCTATCATTTATTGAACATCTACTACTTGCCAGCATCTATGCTAAGTTTTAACGAACAAATTACTTCATTCAATCTTTGTGGGGTAGGTTCTGCTGGTGTCCCCTATTTTATTAAGGGGGAAGCTGAGGCCTCAGAAGGGCAAAGTGACTTCCTGACAATACACAAAGTGGAGGAGTGAAAGACTCCAGTTTTTAGAGGCATTAATTCCTAAATGCAATGACATTCGCAGTGAAAACACCAGTGGATGTGAAAACATTTATTTTAGGGGCACCTGGGTGACTCAGTCGGTTAAGCGCCTGACTTAGGCTCAGGTGATGATCTCACAGTTCGTGAGTTCAAGCCCCGCGTTAGGCTCTGTGCTGAGAGATCAGAGCCTGGATGGAGGCTGCTTCAGATTCTGTGTCTCCCTCTCTTTCTGCCCCTTTCCCACTCACGCTCTGTCTCTATCACGAAAATAAATAAACATTACAAAAATTTTTTTAACATATATTTTTTTTAGGAAATAAATATTTATTAAATTCTTGGACCTATTTAGTGAACAAACA